TAGATTTAATATTATTAATAAACTTTTTAATTTATTTTATAAAATGTGATGTATCAGAAGTGATGATACGGCCTATACTATAGTATAGGTCTAATTTTCAAAATTGTCATTTGTGAGATTTCAACTCTAGATCACCATTTTTGAATACAACAAATCCACTATTTTACTAAGTTGCTACTCCTTTATAAATACAACTATAATACCTCTCTAAATATATATTTTTGTTATTGCAATAAGAAATTATTAATACTAAATACATATTTTATATTCTGCAAATGCATATTTACTCAAAAAAATTTTTATATCATACTAATTTTTCTAAATTTATAGCCAATCAGAATTTAGTATTTAAGTTATAGTACACAAGCCTGCAGATCAAATATTAAAAGCTGCAATTTGATTAGTTTTTTATAAATACAAACTTCTCTAAATACATATTTTAAACTAGTCTGTACATATTGCATTTATAGAGGTTTGACTATAGTTTTTTTTAAAAATCTGGTATTAGTTATTATTTGATTTTTTAGTTAAACTGCTCTAATTAGTTAGCAATAGTTATAGCTAATAACCAGTTACAATAGTTATAAATGTAACCTTACCTATCACATAAACTCAATTTGGGCTTATTTGAGTCCAGCCCAAATAATTTTGAATCCAACCTGGAATTATTTTGAATCCAATTAGAAACTAATTTTAAACCTAAGCGAACTTATCTTTGAATCTAATCTGGAATCATTTTTGAACTAATTCAAACCCAATCCAAGATTATTTTAAATACAATCTGAGATGATTTTTATTTTAATTTTGGTTAGTTTAAATCTAGCATCAGTTTATTTGAACCCAATTTGAGTTTATTTAAACACAACTTATATTTAATCCAGCAACTAGATATATTTAAACCTAATCTGGGTTTATAAATCCAACCTAGATTTATCTAAACCCAATATATATTTAACTTAAACATTTAGGTTTATTTAAATTTAATACAGATTTATTAAATTTAACTAGATTACTTAAATTTAATTTAGGCTTATTTGAATTTGATCTAATTTATTTAATTTAATTTAAATTTATTTTGAACCCAACTCAGATTTATTTAAACTTGAGTTCATTTTTACCCATGTTTATCCAAATCTAAACTAAGTTTATTTAAAAACAATTTGGTTTATTTGATTCCAACTTTGATTTATTTTTAAATTCAATTTAGATTTATTTGAATTTAACTAGATTTATTTAAATTCAACTCGGATTTATTTAAATTCAATCTGAGTTATTTGAATTCAATCAGTTTATTTAAATCCAACCAAGATTTACTTAAATATACCTAGCACAGATTATACAAACAAATAATAGATAAATAGCACAATATAAAACTCCTAATATGCACTTTATATGCTACCATAGATTTGATTACTAATAGTAAAATATAAGTATACATAATGGCAAAGTATTAATAATATATCAGCAATCTCAATATTTTACTCACATATTTATATATTTATTTAACAGTAGACACTTATAATGCAACTAGTATTTTTATTTTTATCAAGATAGTCCAAGTGTCCAATATAACAATGAGACATCTTCAAATACGCATGAACTAAATTATCTTTTCGTTTTACTAAGATATATCCATAAATATTCAAAAACATTTATGAAAATAATTGGTTTCTTATTTTATGGTAGATTTTTTCTCGCTTTCTTAATGCAAATAAATTGTTTGGCTCGATCTTTAATGATTTATTTAAATCCTCAAATGATTTCTTATATTCATTCATATGAAAATAAACCATCCCACGCAGTCTTAATGAACATGCATTATTTGGATCAATTTTCAGTGATTTGTTGAAATAATCAAGCGACTCCTTATATTTTTCCATCATGAGATAACACTCACCACTATTATGTAGGGCTATTGCATCATTTGGTACAAATTCTAGTAATTTATTTAAATCCGCAAGTGATCTTTCATACTCTTTCATATTATAATAAATAATTCCTCGAAGTCTTAATGCCCATAAATTATCTGGTTGAATTTCTAATAATCTATTTAAATTTGTTAATGAGTCCTCATGCATTTTCATCATATAAAAGGTTTCACTACGTTGTCTTAATTGTTTTAATTCACAAATATTAGTTGGATCTTTGCTTAAAAATGTAACTGAATATTCAAGTAATTTTATGTAATATATCGATGCTTCACAGGCTTTTAATATAGAAAATTGGTTATTTGGTTATATTATAAACATTTTATATAAATCTGCACGCGATTTATCATACGTTCTTAATACAAATGCATTATTTGGTTCAATTACTAGTAAATTACTTAAATTTGCAAGTGATTTAAATGATTTATAATATTTTTCCGTATAATAATAAGCCAATACACATTGACTTAATGCGTGTGCATTCTTTGGATCAATTTCCAATAATTTGTTGAAATCAACAAGTGACTCTTCATATCTTTTCATCATGAAATAACATTTACTACGGTTAAGTAAAACTGTTACATCATTTGGGTCAATTTGTTGAAATCACCAAACGACTTGTCATATCTTTCCATAATTAAATAGCATTCTCCACGATAATATAAGGTTATTGTATCATTTGGGGAAATGTATAAAGATTTATTTAAATCTTTAAGTGATTTTTCAATTTCAGATATGTTATTCCACGATATTTTAAAGCCATTGTATCATTTGGTTCAAGTTTTAGAGACTTATTTAAATCAGCAAGTGACTTTTTATGTTCATTCAATTTCAAATATGCAATTCCACGATTTTTTAAGGTTGTTACATCATTTGGTTCATATTTAAGAAATATAATTAGTGATTCTCTATACATATTCAATTTTAGATATGCTGCTCCACGATTTTTTAGAGCTATTGTATCATTTGATCCAAGTTCTAGAGATTTATTTAAATCTGTAAGTGATTTTTTATATTCTTTTAATTCCAGATATGCTACACCCCGATTATGTAGGGCTATTGTATTATTTGGTGCAATTTCTAGAATTTATTTAAATCTGGAAGTGATTCTTTATACGTTTTCATTTTACAATAAATAAATCCTCTAAGTCTTAATGACCATATATTATCAGGTTGAATTGCTAATGATCTATTTAAGTCTGCTAATACTTTTCCATCATATAAAAAATTTCACCACGTTGCCTTAATGCAAAAGCATTATTTGGATCAATTTTTAAAGATGAATTTAAATCTTCAAGTGATTTTATATAATCTTTCATATTAAAATAGGTTACTCCACGTTGTATTATAGCCCACATATTATCCGGATTAGTTGTTAATAAACCATCAAAAACTGCTTCTAATTCATTATATTTTTTTTGACCAAATGTCAGGTTCAAAAAAGTAATAAGGTAGTTCTTTTAATATATTGATTTTACGAGATGGAAAAATTTTTACTAATTTCTCTTTCTCATCTTTTGATAGATTAGGCCAATTTTGTTGATATAAAACAAATTTGTTAATTCGATAATTTTTATAAAAAATTTGTTCAAGCACTTGATTTAACTGATTAACATCAGGTCGAAGATTGCCATATCCATCAAAATATAATTGGATTATAGAATTTTTAAGATTATTGAATGGCATGTTGGTAAAAAGGATAAGTGCACAATATGGATGAATTTTATAGCCAATATGTATTTCGAGTTTTTTTTAACAGATTTTTAGTTTGAAGGATTAAAGCAAATTGTCCTAATGTATAAAGTGGAATTTTTAAATATTTTAGATTAATTGTACACTCAGCAATATTTTTGATAAGTTGGATATAATCAGTTAGATTATTGTAATTCCATTGCCAATCAAAGGTAACATTTTCAATAGTTTTACCATTTATATTGATGAGACTGGATAATATTTCAATAGGTGGTGCACTACCGATAGTGGGATAACCTCCAGTATACTCTAGAGATGTTAAATTCCGGAAAGTAGAATTAATAGGAAAGTTGATAAGTCCTTAACAGTGGTTAAACTTTAGTTTAGTAATGATTGTGCATTGATTAAGCGATGAAATAGCTTTCTCATTTAATCGAAATTTAGTATATCTAAATAATGCATTAACACCTAAACTTATGCGTAAATTGCTACGATTCATGTTTTTGAATGTTAAGCTATTAAGCGATCGTGTTTGACTCTGAAGAGATTGAACAGAAAATGATTGCTATTTACTATAGAAAGTTTTTTAAACATTTTTGAGAGCTTATAAGTTTTGCAGGTGCAATTCCTTCTTCTTTACTCCATACGGTAGCCTTAATATTTCTAATATTATGACAGCTTTTTGCTAATTGATTAAAGATCAGGGCTTTTAGGACTTTTTGGATTCCATCAACCTCCCAATAATACGTGCAATTTAAATATGACAATCTATTAAATATTGAAGAGTACTTAAGAAAAACTTTAGAAATTATCAGTCCATTAAAATTAAGATGTAGGTGGCTAAGATCAAACCGACGTAACTTTACTAAATGCATCTGAAAAATTTTAAATAATTCAACTATTAGTGGTTCAGAGCAATTATTTGCTATAGCTGAATTTAAAAATCGATCAAATGGGAGTTCTTTGAGAAATGACGGGTAATCATAAAGTGGTCTGTTAACTAAAGGATCATCATGAGAATTCTCAGTTTGTTTAAATGTGAGATAGATTTGAATCACTTTAGGAAATAGACCATTATAAACATCATTAGTTTTAAAAGGATATTCCCATAGAATTGATACGGCACAATTAGCCCAATATCTATTGACTAAAATGCAAGAATATAAATCTTTGTTGGTTGGAAGGTAGCTAAAAATAATATTTAAATATTCTGGTGCAAGCATTTGATCTATGGTACTGTTGCATTTAAAGTAGCGATTTATCTAAAGTAGCCACTTTTAGATATATAAAGTAGCGCCTGACTAAAATTAGGCACCTGAAATTAGATCTTCATGCATGCACTAAATCGTAATTCTAGCCCAGGGCTACTTTAGATAGGGTGGCTACTTTAG